CTTGCCGCGTCCCCCTTCCCCGGTGCCTCCGCCCCCACTGTCGCAGTCGCCGACCCCGCTGCCGCCGCCGTCGCCGTCGCCGCCGCAGCCGTCGCCGCTTTCGTCGTCGCCGCCGCCGCTGTCGCTGCCGCAGCCGTCGCCGCTGTCGCCGCCGCCGCAGCCGTTGCCGCCACTGCCGCCGCTGCTCTCGGCCCCTGGGGGTGCTGGTGTGGAGGAGGGTGTTCGTCCTGCGGCTTCTGGGGGTGCCGCTGGTGTTGGAGGGGGTTCTCGCTCTGGGGGTGTTGGTTCTGGGGGTGCTGCTGTTGAGTGTTCTGCCGACGGTCGTTCTGCCTCTGCTGGTCCGAGAGTTCCGGCCCAGCCGTCGTCGCCGCCGCAGCAGCCGTCGCCGCCGGTTTCCGCTCTCCGCCTGCTCGGCCTTCCCTCCCCGGACCGCGCGCCGGTGTCTCCCCCACCGCCTCCTGACCTCCCTGTCTACGGTCCTGTGTTCCCGCCGCCAGACTCGTCTCCGGCCCGTCTTCCTCCTCGTTCCCCTCCTGTGTCTCCTCCGCTGTCCCCTGACCCTACCCCTCCGTCTCACGTTTGGGCTCGCCGTCCCTCCCGTGCTCGTCCCGTCTCTCCTGTCCTGCCCACCCACCCTATGTTGCTCCGTTCCCACTCGTCTCGTCCTCCCCTCCTCCCGTCCCCTCCTCCCTCGTCCCTTGCTGTTGCACCTCCTCCGTTCTCTGACTACCTCCGTGCTGCTCGTCCCCTTGTCCCTCGGGTCCTTGCCTCTCTTGTTACCGACCCTGCTGTTCCTGTCTCGCGCCTTGACGCGCTTGTCGCTGCTGTCGCTGACTTCGCTTCTACCCGCCGCCTTGACTACGCTACCGCTCTGGTCTCTGACCCTGCCCGTCCTCTGTCCGTCGGGGGTGCTCCTGCCCTTGGCAGTGACGTCCTAGAGGACAGGCAGTACGAGCTGGCTTTCCTTTCCGAGGCTGCTCCCCATCTCTGCTCCATGCTGTTAGTCCCTGAGGGTGACCCAGACGCCTTCGACATCCCGACCCCTCGCACCTACGCTGAGGCCACCTCGGGACCTTGGGCCTCTCAGTGGATAGCTGCCATGGAGCAGGAGATGGCATCTTGGAGATCCACCGGCACTTACGTCGACGCAGTTCCCCCGCCTGGGGTGAACGTAGTCGATGGTCGGTGGCTCTTCAAGGTGAAGCGCCCCCCTGGAGAGCCGCCTGTCTTCAAGGCGCGCTACGTGGCCAGAGGTTTCAGTCAGCGTGAGGGGGTTGACTTCTTCCAGACCTTCGCCCCGACCCCGAAGATGACCACTCTTCGGGCGCTGCTACACGTAGCAGCACAGCGTGACTACGAGCTTCACTCTCTCGACTTCTCTACTGCCTTTCTTCAGGGCAGCCTACACGAGCAGGTCTACCTGCGCCGACCACAGGGCTTCACTGGTACCTTCCCTCCTGGGACCCAGTGGCTTCTCAGGCGCCCGGTCTACGGCCTGCGTCAGGCTCCCCGCGAGTGGCACGACACGCTACGTGCCACGTTAGCAGACCTGCAGTTCTTTCCGTCCTCTGCTGACCCTTCACTGTTTGTGCGTTCCGGCCAGACTCCGTTCTACATCCTTGTCTACGTAGACGACCTGGTCTTCGCTACTCCTGACAGGGACGCACTGGCCTCTGTGAAGGCTGAGCTGCTGAAGAGACACACCTGCACTGACCTTGGAGAGCTGCGTCGCTATCTTGGCCTGCAGATCTCTAGGGACAGAGCAGCACGCACCATCACTCTGACCCAGTCACACTTGGTGCGTCAGGTCCTTCAGAGGTTCGGTCTTCAGTTCTCCTCCGCACAGCCCACACCTCTACCCGTAGACCATGGGCTCTCTGCTCCCGTTCCTGAGGAGCCAGTAGAGCCCAGTGGCCCCTACGCAGAGCTGGTGGGTTGCCTCATGTACCTGATGACTTGCACTCGCCCAGATCTCGCATACCCTCTCAGCATCCTGGCTCGCTTTGTGGCTACAGGCAGACACCGACCTCAGCACTGGTCTGCCGCTAAGAGGGTTTTGCGTTATCTTGCTAGTACATCAGGCATGGGGTTAGTGCTAGGAGGACGCAGGCCAGTGGTCCTTACTGGGCACACAGACGCTTCTTGGGCAGACGACGCTGAGACGCTCAGGTCGTCGCAGGGCTACTGTTTCAGCCTTGGTTCGGGTGCTATCTCTTGGAGATCCACTCGCTCGTCGTCTGTGGCTCAGTCTAGCTGTGAGGCTGAGATCTACGCTGGTGCCATGGCGGCACAGGAGCTCCGCTGGCTGACCTTCTTGCTCACAGACTTAGGTGAGCGGCCTAGCTCTGCCCCGGTCCTGTACGCTGACAACAGGGCCATGATACTCCTGTGTCAGGAGCCTCGGCTTGAGGGCAGAGCGAAGCATATCCAGCTGCGGTACTTCCTCCTGCGCGAGCTACAGCAGCGCCGCCAGGCCCGCGTAGTTCACTTGGCCTCAGGTGCCAACACAGCTGATATCTTTACTAAGGCGCTTGCGCCTAAAGATCATCAGCGGCACTGTGTACAGCTTGGTCTTGTTCCTATAGCTGCTCCCCTGTTAGGATCCTGATTGTGTACTCTCTATTATATATGCTTGTCAGACTGGCCTTGTGGCCTTACCTCCAGTGGCTGGACTAGTAGTGCCACCCTGGCTTGCTTCAGTTTTGGTTGTATTCTTGCTGACTGGTCTCCAGACCCCTGCCTCAGTGGTTGGACTAGTAGTGCCGCCCTGAGCTGTTTGCTTCTTGTTTAGTTTCACCCCTTGTCTAGCCTAGGGGGTGTGTCAACTTATACATATTATCTATGTAGAAGTTATAGGCTAGACTGAGGTATGCTTCTAGTGAGTACAACCAACTAGTATTTGTTCTAGGTTTCCACCTCTAGTAATCATTCGTTTCTACGTTAACAATAAATGCCTAGGTCCTCATTTGTATTGACGACTCTTGAATCACGACCCTTTTATTACACTACCTGTTATTACTCTGATTAATTCATAACAGCCTTCGGTTTCGCCAGCGTAACTGGGTACCAAGCATTTGACTCTTGGTCGAAACCTAGAGTTATAAGAATCGGGCTTTAAAACCCGCGGCCCAAATTGCGAGGCGCGGCCTTCAAATGCAGTGCGATTGAAAGTTGCGTTTTCGTGGGTGTATTGGGGGGTGACGAGACACTTGTCACTCAGGGGTGCTGTTCAAGTTCAGTATGAACACGAGGTATTGTGCGTTTTTCAACCGTCCTGTTTTTTTTTTTTTTTTTTTTTTCCCCGTTTTCCATCTGACGGCGCACAGTCAGACGAAACGTGATCTCATCCGTCAAACTGTCTGTTTGCAAATCTGACGGTCCACACAAGCATCCAGTTTGCGAGACCAGCCTCGCGCGATCTTCCGACGTATTTCCTACAGCCCCAGGGCCAAAGTTCATACGCAGTGCATTTGAACAATTTGGGCCGCGGGTTTTAAAGCCCGAGTCTAGAATGGTAAAAATCCATGTTTACTGACCATGAAAACAGTGCCAAAAACGCTGGGCGAAACCAATTTCGGCAAAGCTCCCCTGGCGAAAACTTTTTCTCTGCGAAAATTTTATGTTGCTTGCGACGCAAAAGAAACCCAACAACTTGCAATCAACAGTTCGCAAACAGTGACGACTTTCGGGGAGGGGGGGCGAACTGTACACGGCTGTTCTCGTGTCACGAGCCCCAGCAAAAAATGCGTCTAGAATGGTACCAGGCGTTTTCAAGTTCAGTATGAGTGAACAGTGAGTTCGAGGTTTGTCTCAAATAGCGAATTTCGCACGCTGCCCCATTTCCCCGAGGGTCGCGACGTGGAGGTACCCTTCACTGGGTTACTCACTTTTACGAAAACAAGTTCAGGAATCCTGAACTTGATAGCCAACCAATGTAGACTCGGGCTTTAAAGTCTTATAATCTACAATACCTTGTGGCCTTACCTCCAGTGGCTGGACTAGTAGTGCCACCCTGGCTTGCTTCAGTTTTGGTTGTATTCTTGCTGACTGGTCTCCAGACCCCTGCCTCAGTGGTTGGACTAGTAGTGCCGCCCTGAGCTGTTTGCTTCTTGTTTAGTTTCACCCCTTGTCTAGCCTAGGGGGTGTGTCAACTTATACATATTATCTATGTAGAAGTTATAGGCTAGACTGAGGTATGCTTCTAGTGAGTACAACCAACTAGTATTTGTTCTAGGTTTCCACCTCTAGTAATCATTCGTTTCTACGTTAACACCCATCCCCCAATCTCCCCCAACACGCGCAAATCCGCTACACCCTTCTTTCCACACCTCAGTGCAGCCCACTTCATTCATGTAAAATGTTCCTTAAATGGCCAAGGCTAGAAAGGGTGCAAAGAGTTCTACACTTGAAGCAAAGACTTCGAATTTTTTTACCCTGCCAAATCAGACTTAGAATTTTTTTAGCTCTGACCGTCAGGGCATTTTTTTTTTCCTACTCTGATCTCAAAGAGTGGCCTAAAACCAATTTTGGGCCCTGGCGGGAAGGAGCCATTGCCACTGAGTACAGAGTAAAAAGCAAAAGCTTTGGATCTTGGTGTGGCGGGTGGAAAGGCTTTGCTTGTTCCGTCGCTGGGTTGGGACGGGCGTCGCATAGCACGTCACCTCTCCCCGATCTCAAAATCGCACCCCTCGGGTGTGTACTTGGTTACCGTGTTTCTGTCGCGCTCGTTTTCGCGTGTAGTACAACTCAAAACCTTTTGAGTCTTGAGTTTGGTCTGTCCGCTCGCTTTAAGAGATACCAGGATTGCAGAAACAGAAACTTTTACTCTGATACTAGGTTATACCAATCCATGGCATACGGAACATCTCTCCATATTTCACTTCCATTGCCAAGCGAAATGCACGAGTGGCATTGTCCTCAAACAACTGACACTGGAGCCCAGTAGACAGAGCCAGCCGGCGGTGAGGGAGGGCGACCAGGAATGAGTGTGGTGAAACAGTGTAAAATTTAGAGGGTAGGAACTAAAAAGAACATGTCGAACACGAGAGAGAAAACACACACGCACAGGGAGATGGGTGGTGCGTTGGAGCATAGTTTCATGCTGGGACTGTGCTGAAAAGTTTGGTTAATAACATTCCTTCAATACAGTGACCGGAAAGGGGAAAAAAAAATAAAAAAAACTCAATTTGTCTACACAGCGAGTACTCCCAGTACGCCGAACATTTCAGTTCGCCTTATCTGTGATCTTGGCCTTGAGATCATCAATCAGAAGTGATAGCTCCTTCCTGCTTGACTGTAAAAGCCCAGAATAAAGACCAAAAGAAAGGGAAACAAAGTGAAAACACAAGGAAACCCTTGCGTCAGCGGATCGGGAAAAAATCACCGACAGTACAATTGAGGAAATCTGATGCTTCAGGGGACTAACCTTGAAGAGGAGATAACGGTAGATAAACCAACCCGAGTAGACAGTTCCCACGAGCTCGAGGAATTTCGGAAGCTGCACACATTCGCCGACAAATTCGCATTCGCATTCACATTCGCAAACACTTTCAGCTTGAATGATGAAAGCGGACAAATTTGCTCAGAAGCGGAAGCCTCGATTTGAAAAACGTACCAGGGGGATGGAGTTGACGGCGGAGACGATCGTGGATGAGAGCCAGAGAGCAACGAGAGCACCACCGCCGTATATAACAACGGTCGACTTGTCCTCAACGGCGTCCCACTGCAACGACGAGGACCATTCAGTCCACGTCGAGTCAATTACTTCAACTCTTGAGAAAAACAATGTCTAGACAACATTCGATCGTGCAATCTGACGTTGGTGCTTCGGGATTGTGTCACCTTGTCCTTGGCGTCCAGAAGAACCTCCTTCGACTTCTTCACGAACTCCGACTCCTCAACCTCCTCAGAGGTTGCCCTGACAACGAAACTCCGGGCCTTGGAGGCCTCTGCACGAAATAAATCATCCACTTTAGGCCGCTGATGTGGCGAAGAAAGGAGGATGTTAGATTTATTCATGCATCGACACTTACCGCTCCTGTAAGAGGCAGCAAGACGATTGCCGAGGAACAGCGACGGAGCAGCGGCCCTCACTGCAGCACAGGGCTTCAGCGAGAGGCTGAGGCCTGCAACGACAGGAGCAGATGAAACTGCTAGAGCCATGGCTGAGATTGTTGAATAATTCAACCAATGAATGCCGTAGTGAGCGGTAGCGTCCAGCACAAAACTGATCACTGATCAGCTGAAGAGCAATGGTTGTTGCAGTTTGAAGAGAGTGCAAGCAAGGGGCACAAATACAAGACTTCGGAATTCGAGGCTGGTGGAGTCCTCAAAGTTGGTTTCTGATGACGTGGCGCGACGTGTGATGGAACTGGCCTGGCTGTGATTGGAGTGAGGGGAAGCTCCCAGCATCTCTCCTCGTCATGACTCCAAACACTCCTGGAGCCAGAGACCGCAAAAGTTCCGAGATTGTGGGACGGATTGTCACGTCACCTCGAAGGTTCTCCATGCCCCTGAATTATGGAGCACTCTTATGAATTTATCAGAGTAATAACAGGTAGTGTAATAAATGAGTAAATTCAAGAGTATAGATACAAATGAGGGCCTAGGCATTTTTAGGCACGAACAGCGCTAGCCTAGAACCATGCGAACAGGTTGGGGCAGTTCGGTTGGAGAAAGCTACAGAAGCGCCACACATCTAGGTTTGGGTTCGCAAAGTGGTTCATGTCAACATATATTTGTATATGTTATAGGCTAGATAGGTGCATGTGTCAGAAACCCAGTCACTAACCACTGGGTTAAAAGGGCTTGTTAATAGCGGGTTAGTGCGCCCATAGCCCCCCAGGCTCTGCACCTGTGGCCCTTCCCCGAGGATCTCAAGGGCAACCCCAGCGGGTCACTCAACACCCCCCCCCCCCGCTGGGATAGGTGGAAGACACAAGCGCCTCTGCAGCGCTGGCACTGGGAGTTGAACCCAAGACCTTTGGCTCTGATACCATGTCAGAAACCCAGTCACTAACCACTGGGTTAAAAGGGCTTGTTAATAGCGGGTTAGTGCGCCCATAGCCCCCCAGGCTCTGCACCTGTGGCCCTTCCCCGAGGATCTCAAGGGCAACCCCAGCGGGTCACTCAACAGCATGCTCATAGAAAGTACAACTCCTTAAGACAAAACTGTTGGAAATATCTCAAAGGACTTAAGCGTTTCTGAAGTGTAACACTACACTCGAGGAAGATCGCAACGGGTACGCGAGTCAACGGAGGTTACACGAGGGGACGGACAAAGAACGCGAAGGGACTCGAAGGGTCGCAACTGGAGGTTGCGACTGACCGTTACAACAGCGCGGATGGTAACCGAAGCGACAATCGAGTCGCTGTGCAACTCGATAACCGCTCCTGCAACTGTATTCTACAACTGCTTCCTTATTTTCTATATATTGCTGTATGCCTGTTTCTTTAATCAATCACTTGTTCTCATATACTAGTACAAGGGTTCAACTACTCAACTTCCGCTGCACTACTCAAGTCTCATTCTTCAACTGGGACTTAGTCTCTGGAAAGATCCAAAGGGCTTTTCTCAGCCCAACATGGTATGAGAGCTGGTCAGAGACCAAACTCCCAGCAACTACGCTCTATCTACAATCTGCAATTCAACGACTTCATTGACTACAACTCATGGACAGCAAGGGCAAGAAAATCTCTACGGGCTCACCCATCACCCAAGACACTCAACCCGGCAACTCTGGATTGCACACTTCAGAACTGCAAACCGAGACCGGCCCTGCTCAAGAAACAACAGGAAGAGCACCGGAAATGGTGACCCCATCACCCTCTTCAAGCGTGGATCCGAACCTTATGGAAAGGTTCTTCAGCTTCATGTCGCACTTCGACCAGCAACAGCAGACAAGGACACCTGCGCATTCAACACAGAGCAACGGAGGAAACATGGGATTAGCACCGATGAGCCTCGACAATTCATCATTCGGGTGACACAACCAAGCGCCTACCTTTGCGCCTTATCACTCTTCACCGGAGACATATGAGTTCATGCCGCCCCGTGCCCAACCAACAGCAGCTGCATCACAACAGACACCAAACGAGATTTTGAGTCTCCAGGCGCAGTTTTCACACGTAATCAAGTTACAGACATCCTCACTGTTCAACGGACACGACTTCTTTACCTGGAGCTTTGAGTTCGAGATGCTGATGGAGGCTGCGCATCTCTTGGGATACTTCAACGGGTCCCTGCCATTTCCAAGCAACGGCATTGGAAAGGAGCAAGAAATTTTCACGTATCAGTCGCTGCTGGCGTATACAGTTCTCCTGCGGAACCTGTCACCACAAGAACATCAGAGCATCAGAACGTATCGGAGCTATGGAAACTCCGCAGAACTCGCATGGCATCATCTCAAGTGTCTCTATCAAGCAAACGACAGCGTGACACAAAGCAGACTCATGCAACAGCTGACAAAAATACAGATGAAGACCGGGGAAAAGGCGATGCAGTATATGAGTCGATGCCAGACCCTCCGCGACCACCTGCTTCGGTGCGGAGGAACAATCACAGAAGAAAGCTTCGTGACGCTTGTCCTCGCCGGGCTCGGGCCAGAATGGAGAACCACACGCTCGCTTCTTCGCGCCCACGGAAGGATCTCGGAGATGCACCTCTGCGCCGAGCTTCATGCTGAACAACAGGAGATGGACCTGTTCGAAGAACGACAACCAAGGAAGCAGCAACAGTTAGTTTTCTACACTCAACGAAGGAACGACAACAACTACAATCGACGCGGCAAGCAAGACCAACGCGACAACAGATGACTCACCATCGTGCCGCCGTTCTGCCACAACTGTCAAACATCCGGACATTCCAAAGTCAACTGCACACGTCCTCGTGTCTATCGTCCAGTAGACCCACAAGTCGCCTCCACTCAAGCAAGCCCTCCAAGACGTTCTTCCACATCTGCACAAGGGACACCAAACATCATCAACTGCATGGTACACATCGACAACTGCGCACCCGGATCACCACCCACTTACGCGCCAGACAAAGAAGAATTACCGCCGCCACGCTCACAAGGACTTCAGGTCAACCCGACATACGCTGCGGTCGCCAACGCCGAACCCACCAGGCGAAACACTTGGTTCTTGGACAACTGCTGCGGTCAACACATGTGTTCTTCTGGACGCTTCGTGCAACAAGAGCGACGCCTCAACCGCGACGTCATCATCACCGTCGCCAACAATGAGAACCTGAAAACAAACAGACAAGGGGTGGTTTAGTTACAGTCCATGGAAACAAATGTCATCCTTCAACTCAACAAGGTCTTAATCGTTGACAACTTGGGATACAATCTGCTAAGCGTCAGCCAGCTAATGGCAAAAGGAATTCACCTGGAGTGCGACTCAGACTCCAACGAGTTTCGCCTTTACCACGGGAAAGGCGGCCTCTTCATCGGTCGTGCTCTCCTGAAGTCCGGCGTCTTCGTGTTGGACTTCGCCCCCGACCGCAGTACTGCCGACAGCGATGGGATCGTGTCGTTCGCCGCATGGACACACCCGCCGGATCTTGACCCTGACTTCAACCCCGATGGATTCTGGTACTCCAACACCATACCTGCAGAAGAAAGAACACGAGCGTTAGCAGTCATCAGACAAGAAAGACAAGTACCAACAAGTGCTCCTTCCCAACCATCACCTGCAGTAGCAGCAGTAGGACCCAGCCGAGTACCACCACTAGCGATCCGAGGACCGCCAACTGAAGCAGATCAACTTATGCCCATCACACGAGAAGTCTGTCGCAGTCATGCCACGGTCGTCGCGTTCTTCTCCAACACCGATATATACCACCGCTCGCCCGGCCATCGAGCTCCCGACGACATCTGGCACCAACGTCTCGGACATCCTGCAAACAGTACAATACTGCAAACCATCCAAGCCGAAGTGTTAGAACGAAACGCTCTCCTTACAACGAGCGGCCAAGAACTTCGACGACCACGCGCAAGGTGCTTTACGTGCCCCGAAGCCGATCTACCCCACCAGCCTTTTTCATCTCATCACAACCCAAGCGCACCTGCATACGCACCGATGGAAAAAGTCTACAGCGACATTTTAAACATGCCTCGAGAAGACACTGAAGCCGACTTCAACTATGTCATCACGTTTATCGACGCAGCAACAAGATACGTCTGGCACTACAACCTCAAGACGCGCGATCAAGCCTTCGACGCCTTCACGACACGGCTCCCCATCGCCGAACGAGAATCAGGAACCAAGCTCAAAAGCTTCCAGTCAGACGATGCACTGGAATACCAGTCACAACGCTTCAGGACCTATCTGGCGGAAAGAGGAATTAGACGTCTGGTGTCTCTGCCCTACGCTCATCAGCAGCAGGGGGTCGCAGAACGCATGAAGTGGACCTTGCAGACGACGATGCAAAAGCTGCTCCTGGGGATGAGACTGCCCAACACACTGTGGCCAGACGCGATGACCCATGCAGTCCACCTGCACAATTTGTTGTCCTCGTCTTCGCTTCCCAACAACGCATCATCGCACCTGCTGTGGACACGAAAAAGGGGCAGCACAAAATTACTTCGAGTTTTCTGCTGCATGGTACAGTACAGACCCCACACAGCCCGAGCAGGACACTTTACTCAACGAGCTCGGTGGGGACTACACCTCGGCATCGCCAAACATTTTCACGCATGGAAAATCCTCGACATACAAGACAAAAAGACGCACGTGTGCAAGCTCCCAACACCCAACCCAAGCCCACCCATTCTTTCGAGCTGGTGGTTCAATAAGACCAGCCGCAAGCGGCCCATTCTGGCTTGGTAGGTCTCAGAGCCATAGACCGTGGGTTTGTAAAGCCCCCTAGATGATGTAAAGAGGCTAGTTGTATTAATAAATATCACCCTGTCGAGACCATTGGAAGCATAACCTCCCCCGATGGATATAAGTATCACGCCTTGAAATGTTTTGTACCCCTTGCCAGTGAGCGATTGTGGCCATCACAAGGCATCCGTGTTAGTGGGACATGTGCGGTTATATTTATGATGCACAAGAATAATCCACACCAACCCCGCCCGGCCAACACCCCAACGGCACCACGGGCGTGCACCACAATCGCCGCCCAGATTACCGACGCTGCCGCCAGTGGGAACGCGTGTTACCCTCGCCCCCAAACCTATCCCACCCAGTCTTCCACTATGGGAGCCTCCACTTTTGCTTCATGCCCAAGTATTGGGCTTGGCTCCACGCATGGCAGCGAGGTGTGCCCGGAGACT